CTCTATCCAACATGAAAATGAGTTTTAGCTTTAGTTCCACTTTGAAGGCAAAACTTTATTTTCCTATTAGTTTTGGATGAAGTGGAGAGGGGTTAGAACACCTATCAGGTTTTTATTGTTCACTGTAGAACAAGGAAAGAGAGGGCACACCAGCCTAGTGCATTAAATAAAAAGGTAACTTTATTAAGTTCAAAGGAGATACTTACAAATGACTGTAGTGACAAAGGCATATCTGTATGCAAAGAAATCATGTCACCAAGTCAGCTCCCAAAGTACGAGAAGGCCCACAAATGGCTGACATGTTTTGAGGGGCGATCCCCTCTTCATCAGAGCCATCAGACTGACTGATTTCCCCTGACCCTTAGAGCAGCCTTTCTCAACCAGGGTGCCCAGGACCCTGGTGTGCCTTGAGGATTTTTCAGGGGTGCCTTGGCAAAATGTCTAAAAATTGCCCAAAACTTGTATACAAGCCAGCAGATGGAAGAAGCCTGCCTTTTAGTTACACAAAGCCACAGGTCGTCATTGTGCAACATTACGACCTTCTAGCTGCCAGCATCTTGACAACAAATTACATCATCAGTTGATAAGGAGGATGTTAGCTGCCTGCACAGCATCCTCGTTTGCCCATCTCCATCAGTGCTGAGGTCACATTAGCTCAGTTATGGATAAAAACTGAGGGAGAAGAGAAACATTGGAATACTAGTCAGTACCAGTGTACAAAAGTGTATTTGCTTTGGAAGAATAAATCACCTCTAATATTGGGTGTCCTACATGTGTGGGTGTCGCTGTGGTATATAAAACTATTAGAATAGTTTTTCACATTTTAGAATGGGGTGCCCTTTTAAAATGGACAGTTTTGAGGCACCCCATTTTACAATGGGGTGCCTCGGGGACTGTCCATAATTTGAAAGGGTGCCTTGACTGAAAAAAAGGCAGCAAGGCCTGAGCTGATGCTGGATGTTTTTAAGGACTGGAAATATTTCCATCATCTTATAACTTTTGAGCACGGGAGACATTCTTCTTGTTCTTGGATTTTTATTGTTGTCCGTGAGCCTGTTAGGAAGATTTATTCTATTTGTCCTGGTGACATCTATTAAAAATTCCACATTTTTGGGTTGTCCTTATAACAGTAATAGTGGTAAATCCTCTAGTGTTCTGGTGACAACAGTTTCTCTCATATTGGAAGGCTCTCCTCTCACTTCTTGTTTGGCTATGGAAAAGGAAGTGAAATCTCCCCAAATGGGACACAGCAAAAAAAAAAAGACATAGCGGATATCACCCTTCCTTACTCTATCCATGATAAATCAAATGTCTTGGACTGTCCATTTACTGTAATACAGCACTATTAGTTGATGAATTTGTGGAAGCCATAGTGATAATAGAGGAAAGTGCTGGAAGTTTGTGGATGGGAACTCTGTGGATCTGTCCCACACATCAGAAGTAGGGTTGCTACCTCATCCTTTTAAAGCCGAACACGTATTAATTCCACAGGTTCTGTGGCTGATTAAGGTGGTAATTAACCACTTGCCTAGCGGGCACTTCTACCCCCATCCTGCCCAGGCCAATTTTCAGCTTTGAGCTGTTGTACTTTGAATGACAATTGCGTGGTCATGCAACACTGTACCCATGACATTTTTATCATTTTTTTTTACACAAATAGAGTTTTCTTTTGGTGGTATTTACTTGCCGCTGGTTGTTTTATTTTTTGTGCTATAAACAAAAAAAAAAAAGAGCACAAAATTAGAAAAAAGTTTTTGTTTCTATTATAAAATTTTGCAAACAGGTAATTTTTCTCCTTCAGTGATGTGCGTTGATGAGGTGGCAGTAATATGCAACAATGATGGGCATTGATAGGTGGCACTGCTGGCTATTGATCATCAGTGCCAATCCGTCCTCTGACAATTGACAGTTATCGGCAGTACTTTCTTCATGCTGTGACAATGTAAGGAAAGTGTAGCTGATAACTGGCAACTGCACTTACCGGTGATCTCTTGTGTCACTGGACACAGCTGATCACTTGGTGAAAGGCTGCTGTGATTGGCCTTTTACCACATCACGTGATCAGCTGTGTCCTCAGCGATCAGAGATCCCCAGGAGCGTGCGTTCTGGGAGGACATCATATAACACCCTCCCAGAACTGGACAACCGCGTTGTAGCCGTCATTCAGCTATAGCACGGCTGGCAAGTGGTTAAACTGAGTGCCTTATGTACAATAAGTTAGCCTCAGAACCTGTGTAATTAATGTGTTCGGTTCAGTGGCCACCTTAATCAGAAGTATCTGTGAACATGTCGCCGTTCTCTGAACGTGCCTAGACTCCCTGACAGCACTGGCCGCTGAGGGATGCTGTGTCCGGAGACCAGAGACACTGTCACCGGTATAGTGATCCGCCATCCCCATACAGAGAACCCCCAGCATGGACTCGGCACATCCTCCATACGTATACCGGCCATCCCCTGACACACCGAGCACAGCGTGTATCCACACACTAACATCAGCCACAGCACACCGGAAGAGGAAGCTTTCCGACCATTCCATGCTTCCAGCGCGGCCTGATGATGTCACTTCGCCGCATGTTTATCTGGGCTCCGCGCATGCGTGTTGCCCTCTTTTCCGGTGGTGAACATGGCGGGGACAGAGTGAGTAGTCAATGGCCTCTGTGTAATCGGCTCCCATCCGTGTGTCGGATCGCCTCTCCCCATGTTCACATCTCCTCCGCAATGTGGGGGGACAGTGCCGAGTAGACTGGGCGCCGTATTACCGCTGGATGGGGCGGTAGGGCGGTGTACGAGGGGCCCGGAGTTGGCTGCGGCCTGACAGTCTGTGCCCGGGGCCCCTCGCTTCATGTACGGTGGGCCTCTACTGGGTGAAGGGAGCGCCGTGTTACCAATAGAACTGGAGAGCCCTCCGTGTACTCCTCACCATGTGTGATCCAGTCAGTGCCGGGCTCCCTCCACTCTGCATAGACTGAGCCATGGGAAGTGTATGGGGGCAGCCAGGAGACATCAGGGATCACATGCTGCATGGAGAGGGGGGAGAGTTAGGGATACTAGAGACCATGGAAGCCACTTACCTGAGACCACCCACCCCACAGCAACACCTGGAGTCATGGTGAGGTCTTGAACACAGGCAAAAATCAATGAGCCAGGATCAGTGGGTAGAAGGTCACTTATATCAGGGGGCTCAGCGGGTACAATGTCATTTGTATCAGGGGGCTTAGCGGGTAGAACGTCACTTGTATCAGGGGGCTCAGCGGGTAGAACGTCACTTGTATCAGGGGGCTCAGCGGGTAGAACGTCACTTGTATCAGGGGGCTCAGCGGGTAGAACGTCACTTGTATCAGGGGGCTCAGCGGGTAGAACGTCACTTGTATCAGGGGGCTCAGCGGGTAGAACGTCACTTGTATCAGGGGGCTCAGCGGGTAGAACGTCACTTGTATCAGGGGCTCAGCGGGTAGAACGTCACTTGTATCGGGGCTCAGCGGGTAGAACGTCACTTGTATCAGGGGGCTCAGCGGGTAGGACGGCACTTGTATCAGGGGGCTCAGCGGGTAGGACGGCACTTGTATCAGGGGGGCTCAGCGGGTAGGACGGCACTTGTATCAGGGGGCTCAGCGGGTAGGTTGGCACTTGTATCAGGGGGCTCAGCGGGTAGGATGGCACTTGTGTCAAGGGGCTCAGCGGGTAGGATGGCACTTGTGTCAAGGGGCTCAGCGGGTAGGATGGCACTTGTGTCAAGGGGCTCAGCGGGTAGGATGCCATTTATGTCGGGAGGGGGCCTTCAGTGGGTAGGATGCCCTATATGTTGGAGGGCTCAGTGGGTACAGCGCCATTTACATTTGGTTGGGGGTTATAGGATGCCATTTACAGTGAAGTTTGAGTCAGTGGGTAGTAGGTCGCTTAGATTGGGGGGGGGTAGCAGCTCATTAACAGTGGGGGGCTTTATGGGTAGAATGCCTCTTTCCAGACCGCTGAATAGATGATTGGTGTCATTGGCTCTGCAGTGTTGTTACCCAGGCCTATGTAGGCACCTTCAGATGGGAGGCCTCAGCTCAAAGAACCCCTAGTAACCTCTGCAGAGAATGGCTGCTGTAGGAATCTACGCCTGGGAATAGATTGAAATCTAAAACACTGCAGCTTTATGATGTCCAGAAAGTAATCATGAGAGTGGATCCCAATATTATTATTATACAGTATTTATATAGTGCTAAAAGGTTTGCTCAGCGCTGTACATTATAGTGGGGGACAGAACATGAGACAATACAGTGACAAAACAAAACGCGAGGGGGTCAAGGGCCCTGCTCTTTCGAGCTTTCAATCTAGGAGGATTTCCAGGATTATTCCACTTTTGTGATCATGTTTTATCCATATTTAGGCTGTAACATGAAACATGGTCACATTTCCCAACCCCCACCACCAAACTACCCCCCCCCCCCCCTTACCTGAATTGTGGGGTACTTCTTCCTGCAGCAGCCTTCTGTGGTGTGTTTTTTTTTTTTTTTTTTTTTTTTTTGTGAATGGATACACATGATCACCCCACATGACCTGTGAATGGGAAGACTAAAAGTTGTATCTGCCACTGTGGGAGAAGGACACATAGATGTGAATGGGGCACAATCGCAGGGATATCATTACCCTTGTAGTCCATGTTTTTTTTTTTTTTTTCCTCCTCTGGCACCCTAAAACTAGGTTTGTACCTCTGTACACACTTGAGGCTGGCATGAAAACTATGCAGGCGTCTGTGCATTGCACCCACCACACATTGATCATGGTTGCAGTGCTCTGCAGACTCCAGTGCAAACATTTAACAAATGCACATATTTTATTGTGCATTTATGTTATTGTATTGCAACAGGTGGATTCTGCCTTAAATTCTGAATTTTGACCATCTTTAAGTCTTGTTTGTTGTAGTGCAAGTAGTTCTAATTGGTGTGAAGTTTTTTTTTTTCCTTATGTGTAAATGTTGAGCAAATGTTTTAAAAAAAGCTTTTAATTGCAGGGGGAAAAAGTTGCCATCCATTCCAGAAAGCCTTTTGAAAAGGCGAAAAGCCTTTGCGCAAGCCAAGGCCAAAAGGGTCAAGAAAATCCTGGCTGATAAGAAGGTGAGGGTTTTTTTAATATGAACCTTCTAATGTTTGTATGGCTTACCCTGATCCGGTCCTCATTTTGTTTTCCTAATTCAAGGATGAAATTACAAGTATGGAAATTGTATTTTTTTTTTCCTGTTCAGGCCCGCAAAGCAAAAAGGAAGATCATTTACAAGAGAGCCGAGGCCTACTACAAAGAATACAGACAGATGTACAGGCGTGAAGTGCGTCTGGGTAGAATGGCCCGCAAAGCTGGAAACTATTATGTGCCTGCTGAGCCCAAGTTGGCATTTGTCATTAGAATCAGAGGGTAAGCAACTATAAAGCTGGAATATTAATGTTCTGTTCTCCTTCTCAGGCTTCACCACAGATATTAGAACATGCTCTGGGATTTAAAGGGGCCCTGTGAGAATACCCACTAAAAGGCTTTTGATGTAAGCGGGTCACAAGAGAAACCTGGAGCCTGCCACTGCTTAGTGATATTAAAGGTTCAAACTAAAGCAAAAAAAATAACAAACATGTCATTTTTGCCTGCTCTGTGCAGTGGTTTTGCACAGAGCAGCCCCATTCCCCCTCTTATCAGTGCTCCTGGCCCCTCCCACCTTCAGTTCCCCCAAGGAAAGCCGCGCATGCTATGGAGGCACTGGTACATGCTCACTCCTGAGCCCTCTCTGTGTGTGTCTGGCTGTGATTAAGCCTATGGCTCCCACTGTTCTCTCAGCCAATGAGGAGGGAGAGACCCGGGACAGCCAAGGCTCCTTTGAGAGGGGCTCGGGTAATTTTTGGGGGAGCAACTTGTAGGGTTTTTTTTTTTTTTTACCTTCATGCATAGGCAGGAGTAAGCACTGGCAAGGTGAGTATAGCAAAGACTGTTGGGTCCTTTTGCAATTGCATTGCTCTTTGGGCAAAGGTGCAGCTTCTACATCCATTTTAGAAGTATTTAAAGTGATCCTAAACACACATGGTTTAGTTTATATTATCCCTTTTCTTTCTGTATGTGGATGATGGCACTATCATTTATTTTTTTTACTAAATACTTTTCTTTCCTAATCGTTATACAGCTGTCACATGGCCCATCTGGTTCCTAGCCTGTCGACAGGAAAACAGTGGCAGGAGGAGCTTCAAATCTTTATTATTTTTTGGCAATAACATGGTGTTGGCGGATTTCTGCCAGTCACAGGCTTTGTCACGCCCCTCCAGCTTGTTGTAGCCTCCTTAGCGGTATTCCCTAGTTTAGCTCGGGGTAAAGTTTCAGTACCACAAGCGGTAACCCCGAGCTACACTCGGGCTTACCATGAGTCGCTGCTCCGGGATCTGTTCTTCTCTTACCTTGTCCTGCGCTCCTGCGATGTCCCTCCTGCAGTGTCCCCTGTAATGTCCTCTGGCGGATGCCGGCATCTGTCTTCTGGGTTCCATTTCCTGGGACGTACAGGGATGGAACGGCGGGAAATTTGAAAATGGGGTGCCCCTGTCACTGTGGATTCACATTATAATTGGGAGCACCTGCATGAAGATTGTTGTGTGTGTTTCTTCACTTAATAGGACGGATCTATATACAGGGAGGAATCGCAGCACCACATTTTGATATAATCTTTTTGTATAAAGTTATGTGGATAGGGAATTTATAGCGCTGCACCGTTTGTAATTTATTAATGTTTGTGAAAAAGTTTCAAGTGTTTTTGCTAAATGTGTTCAGTCTTTACAAGTCCCAGTGGAGTAGACTGTCTTGCTCCTTTGCTTATTTTTTTTTTTTTTTTTTTTTTTTTCTCTTTCTCTCCGAAGGCTTGCAGTTTGTATGTTTCCTTCAGACAGATTATGGGTCTATAAAAGAGAGTTGTCAGTGGTAGTTAACTTTGAAATCTGTAATGGTCTGGATGTTATTTGGGGGGGGTCTACGATTGTGGGACACAAGTAGATAGAAAAATAGGTGTTTGACTATAACCAGCTGCACACCCAGTCTATCAATCAGGTCTTTTTGTAGCATGCCAAGCAGAGCTACTGTAATAGTGCCTTAATCTCCTGTTATCAGTGTATACCTCGATAGTAGCAGGTTAATGTAACTAGCAAGGCTGAGATTTACAAAACTTAATTTACATCTCTAGTAATCAGGCCTGTACCCCAGTGCAGAAAATATTGTAGTGTACTCTTCATGTATCCTACTTCTTTAAGCAGCATTACAGCAGTCTGTATTCCGCAACCATACCTATTTTACCCAAAGTGCGATGAAACAAACTTGTGTATTCTTAAATTGGTAGGAAAAGTGAGTGCAATTCTCCAAAGTCTTGTGTTGCATACAAAACTGAAACTGATGGTACCCCAACATCTGCTGGGTCACATTTTCTATATTAGTTTCCACAGACCAATTTAGATCTACTCTACCCAATCTAGGCAAGATGCCTAGAAGTTGTTGTGTTAAAGCTTTGCTTATGTGTTTTATTTTTTAATTTTATAGTATCAATGGAGTTAGTCCAAAGGTTCGCAAGGTATTGCAACTCCTCCGCCTGCGCCAGATCTTCAACGGCACCTTTGTCAAGCTCAACAAGGCTTCTATCAACATGCTGAGATTGGTTGAGCCCTACATTGCTTGGGGGTGAGTGCCCTGTCTTGTGGCAGCAACCTAAAGTATAAAAGTAGTCGTCCTTTCCAGCCAGAGAAAAAAGCTTGTAAAAAGTGCATGCACCTTCTGCGGGAGCTTTCATGGAGCCCCACAATATTCCTCCAGATAATCAGTGGACAAACGCAAACACTGCCTAGAAGTGCCAAAACTTCACCCATTTAGAATGGTCTGCCATTTGGGTATATGGGGGGGGAGGGGGACATGCAATGAGTGCACATATATTTTTATACCGGTTTTGTTTTGTTGTTTTCCACAGTTAAAAATGTCTTTTTACATCATAGTAAATGGGTTGGTGCAGTTGGTACTAACTAGCCCAGCCTTTCTCAACCTTTTCAATGCAGAGGAACCCTTGACATAACTTTCCGCCCTCAGGGAACCCCTGCTAAAAATGACTTTATCTACAATTCATGATACATTAGTGTGATAGAGGTAAGAATGCTCCTTACACTTGTGGTCATTAGGAAGAATTACCTCCTTACAGATTGCCAAAAAGATTAGATCAATGGTGTCAGTGGGAACTTACCTGAGAGGCAAACATTGCTCAAGGAACCCCTGGCAACGTAGAGGAACCCTAGGGTTCCACAGAACCCTGGTTGAGAAACCCTGGTCTAGCCTATTCTCTGGACTTTGTAGAACATAATCTATGTGTCAAGGGCTTCACGCTTCTAGACATTTGTGCTTCTGTTCTAGAGTGGTTTGGTTTTCCCTGCCATTTGCATGGTGGTAAACTAATTTTTTATCTTTTTTTTTTTTTTTTTTTTTTTCAGTTATCCCAATCTGAAGTCTGTGAAGCTGCTTATTTACAAGCGAGGATACCTGAAGATCAAGAAGCAGCGTATCCCCCTTACAGACAACTCTCTGATTGAAAGATACCTAGGTATGCCACAATACACAATAGGGTTAATTTACTAAAATTGGAGAGTGAAATCTGGTGCAGCTCTGCATAGAAACTAATCAGCTTCTAGGTTTTATTGTCAAAACGTAACTGAATAAGCTGAGTTGTTACCGTGCATAGCTGTACCAGATTTTGCATACTCCAGTTTTAGTAAATCAACCCCAATATGTCCGCCCCCACAGAGAAGATAATTTCCAGAACCATCCACTTTAAAGACTTGAATGCAGGTCTAATAAGGTTCTTGTTTAGTGTGGGGGAAGAGCAGTGTAAGGAGATACTCCGTTATTAGCTATTAAAGTTAAGTGTTGACTACTACAGGTGTAGTGTTTTGGTCATTGCTGCTCTATTGGCTTGTTTAGGCAGGTCTGAGGTGTTCTTACTGTCATGTATATACAGCACTATTGCAGGTAAAATCTGCAGACACTTAATGGGTTGGTTTTGTGTGGTTTTTTTTTTTCCTTTCTGTATATCCTTTTTGCCAGTGGGGTAGCCAAACGTAGTGATGGGCTAGTAGGAATGTGTTGTGGTGGAGAAAGAGCCTTTGTCAGAATGTCTCAGGATTTGGCTGTAAAAGCAATGTATAGGAGGCTGCTGCAAGTATGTGCAGGCACCATTTAAGTGTCTACACTGTATACCTGCAACAGTTTTTTTTTTTTTTTTTTTTTTTTTTTTTTTTTTTTTTTTCTGGGGGGGGGGGGGTCCTATTTTGAAGTTCTTGACAATGTAACGGTTACCTTCCCTTTTTCTTTATTTTCACTAATGCTGAAGCAAAATAATATAAAGCCACCAGTGCTTTTTAGTTTCCTCTAAATGTGTACAAATGGTACATTTTCTTGAAAGTATCTAAACTTTGACCTCTTAGGTAGTCAGTTACTATAATATATTTGCTATTGGGTATCGTGTGCAAAAATTTTTGAATTTTTTTCAATAAAGTTCCTGCAGCATCGCATTTAGATCTGATAAGATAAATATTGGGGGCTGTCACTGCTGACTTTCTGAAAATGCAAGTTGACTGGCTGTTACCAGACACACCATTTTTATTGTTTTGAGTTTGACATGGAACAGATAAGGCATTGAGCCAGAAGTCCCAGATCTGCTTTTTTTTTTTTTTTTTTTTCTTCATATTTCACTATGACCAAAGTAGTTTGTTACCATAGCAACATTGTACTACTTTGGGAAAGTGATCAGTATTTTTTTTTTTTTTTACACAATTTTCTTATAGCAAAGAATTAATTTGCTATAAGCAAGCATTTATCTGAATGAAATCAATTTATTCAGTTTTTTTTTTTTTTTTTTTTTTTTTTTTTTTGATTAGCTGTGATTTGGCCACGGCTAATCACATGACACAGCTGGGCTGTGATTGGCCCAGCTTGTGCATGTGATCGCTGTGACCATTCACAGCTAGCCACACTTGTATACAATGGATAGCATGTAAGGAAGACATCCATTGTATACAACTGTCATGTGACCTGCTGTGATTGGTCACAGCAGGTTAAATGGTACTGACAACGGGGCCGGTACACAGATCTGTCATCAGCCATGTCCAAGGTACACAGGGACTGTGACAGATTGTGCTGCAGTGCGGCCCTGCGGGCAAGCGCAATGCATGTTCCGGAAAGGACACCGTGTGGCGTCCACCTGGAGGGACGAGGTGTTCGCCCAGCCGCCATCTGGCTATAGGCCGGGCGGCAAGGGGTTAATGTGCTAGTATGTGTTTGCATATTGGTACATTATGCCTTTTTCCTTGCAGGGGAAATTTTTCTTTTCCTAACTTTACTACATCTTTAATGTTACCTTTTTACTAGCTATCTTCTGTGAACTGTAAAAACCCTTCCCCTGTTTAATTTGGAGACATTGGATACACTTCAGGGGTTCCAAAACGAAGACGACTAACCATATATTTTATTCCATTAGGAAACGTAACATCATTTGTGTTGAAGATCTGATCCACGAGATCTACACTGTTGGCAAAAACTTCAAGGCAGCAAACAATTTCCTTTGGCCCTTCAAATTGTCCTCTCCCAGAGGTGGAATGAAGAAGAAAACCACACACTTTGTAGAAGGTGGAGATGCAGGCAACAGGGAAGACCAGATCAACAGACTGATAAGAAAGATGAACTAAAAGGTAAGGTCTTCTCCAAAAATTCTCTGATTTATATGAGGTAGACAGACCTAGAGTTTGGCAGTCAGTCTAGTGTGTTAAACGGACCTGTTGGTGGGGAAAAGGCTTTGTTAGAATTTGCGGTAATCTGCTTGCTACTGCATCTAGAACAGGTTGCTGTTAGGACAGGACCTGTGTCAATGTGTTTTGTGCTTGTCAATGACATCAATTTGAGATGAGATTATTCAGAATTTGACTTGCAGTTCACCTAAGTAGTTTTTAATTCGTATAGATGTATGGCTGTTCACACAGGCCATTGTTGTGATGGGAATTATTGATATGAAATCAGTTTTTCCCTTCTTAGACGTCTGGCTGGAATGACAGCATATGTGTTTCTTGTGCAAGCCTTCATTAACAGAGAAGTATGGGAATGTTGTTTTTTTTTTTTTTTAATGCTACGTAGGTGGATGCAGCATCATTTGATACTGTATCTGTCGCCCACCAGGTCGAAGGGTGGGAAATGAGCAATTGGACACCGCTGATCGCTCAGTTGTCCCTGCCGCTCCAAACAGAGATCACTGACTTTCAGTCTCTGCTGTCTGCTCTGCTCCCCTGCAGCGCTCACTAAAGCGCTGGGCTGTGGAGGGGGAAGGAGCACCTGGCTTAGGCTCTCCGCGGGTTGCTAAGAGGCCGAGCCAGGTGTCGGTTTAGACATCTGGGTATATCCCGACTTTGATTTCAGGATCTTTCCCCATCTTGGACCTGACTGAGTGCTCTTAGCCAACAAGTGACTTTAGCCCGCTGTCAGCTGAAAAACGGGTCACAGGAGTGCAGAATGGACTGCATTCCTGTGGTCCACAGAAGTACAGCCAAACAAGCTTTGGCTCTACTTCTTTTAATATACCCAATATCTTAAACACCATGCTATTCCTGCAAGTACTTTTCTTGCACCATGTTGATTTTCTGCTTTAAACTAGGGGCTCAATCATACGAGAAGTACCCCTTGAAGAGCTATCTGCAATGGATCACATTTCAAAGGGCATTCGACAGGTGGTGAGGAGACAGTATGTCACCACTTCACTGCCTGATTTAATCCTATAAATACCACACTACCACATCACAGTAGTTTGTTGCAGCCCCATAGATCTGCATTAGTTGCATTCAGCAGCTTCAAAGCCTTCCAAAAGTGACATATCTCATTTTTGCTGCAGCTGCACAAAGCACAGCAACACACCAACGGTATGTGTACATTCATGAGCAGTTGGATGTCTCTGTTCAGGCTGCTGGTGAGGGGGGGGGGGGGGGGGGGGGGGAGGAGCGGGGGAGGGGGGGGGGGGGGGGGGGGGGTGCACGACTGTGGCTCGCCTGATATGACGTGTCGCACGTGTGAATGTTTTAAAGTTTTTCTAATCGTTAGTGGATAAAATTGACATTTGTCTTCCACTGCAGTGACGAGATTGGAAGAAGCAGGATGAAAAACTTCTCACTAAATAATTTGTAACATTATACAGGTGAAACTCGAAAAATTAGAATATTGTTCAAAAGTGTATTTATTTTAGTAATGCAACTAAAAGGTGAAACTAATATATTATTATTATTATTATTATTATACAGTATTTATAAAGCGCCAATAGTTCGCTCAGCGCTGTACATTACAAAGGGGGACAGAACATGTGACAGAACAATACCAATACAATGCAAAACATGAGGGGATCGAGGGCCCTGCTCTTTCAAGCTTACAATCTAGGAGGGAGGGGATGGTGGCACAGGAGGAGATAGCTGTGGGGGATGGAGTGGTAGGAAGAGTGGAGGAGGTCGGCAAGTTAGCAGGGGGCGGGGTAGGCTTCCTGAAGAGATGGGTTTTCAGGGTGCGCCTAAAGGAGAGGAGAGTAGGTGATAATCTGATGGGTTGGGGCAGGGAGTTCCAGAGGATGGGTGACACCCTGGAGAAGTCCTGGAGGCGGGCATGGGAGGAGGAGACCAGGGAACTAGAGAGAAGGAGGTCTTGTGAGGAGCGGAGTGTGCGTGCTGGGCGGGTACTTGGATATTAGGTCAGTGATGTAGTTCGGGGCAGTATGGTGGACAGCTTTGTACGTCAGCGTTAGGATTTTGAATTTGATCCGTTGCGCAATCGGAAGCCAGTGGAGGGATTGGCAGAGGGGGGTGGCGGAAACGGAGCAGTTGGAAAGGTGAATGAGTCTGGCAGCCGTATTCAGGATGGACTGAAGCGGGGATAGCCAGCGGCGAGGCAGGCCAGTGAGGAGGGAGTTGCAGTAGTCGAGTCGCGATATGATGAGGGAGTGGATGAGCTGTTTAGTGGTTTCTGGAGTTAGGAACGTGCGGATTTTGGCGATGTTGCGGAGGTGGAGTCTGCACGAGTTTGTTAAAGAGTGGACTTGGGGCTGGAAGGATAGGTTGGAGTCCAAAATGACACCAAGTACTCTGGCCTGCGGGGCGGGTTTGATGGTGGCGTTGTTGGACATGATGGAGAAGTCAATGGGGGGTGGTGTCCGGGCTGGAGGGAAGACAATAAACTCGGTTTTGGAGAGGTTCAGTTTAAGGAAGTGGAGCGACATCCAGTCTGATATGTCGCTCAACAGGTGTGTGATTCGGGCGGAGACCCCTATATGAGAGGCTCATTGCATGCAAAGCAAGATATTTCAAGCCGTGATTTGTCATAATTGTGATGATTATGGCTTACGGCTCATGAAAATCCACAATCTCAGAAAATTAGAATATTACATGCAATCAATAAAACAAGGATTGTACATAGAACAGTATCGGACCTCTGAAAAGTATAAGCATGCATATGTACTCAGTACTTGGTTTGGGCCCCTTTTGCAGCAATTACTGCCTCAATGCGGCGTGGCATGGAAGCTATCAGCCTGTGGCACTGCTGAGGTGTTATGGAAGACCAGGATGCTTCAATAGCGCCTTCAGCTCTTCTGCATTGTTCGGTCTCATGTCTCTCATCTTTCTCTTGGCAATGCCCCATAGATTCTCTAAGGGGTTCAGGTCAGGCGAGTTTGCTGGCCAATCAAGCACAGTAATCCCACTGTCATTGAACCAGGTTTTGGTGCTTTTGGCAGTGTGGGCAGGTGCCAAGTCCTGCTGGAAAATGAAGTCAGCATCTGCGGAAGGAAGCATGAAGTGCTCCAAAATCTCCTGGTAGATGGCTGCGTTGACCCTGGACTTAATGAAGCACAGTAGACCAACACCAGCAGATGACATGGCTCCCCAAATCAACACACTCAAACTTCACACTGGACTTCAAGCATCTTGCAGTGTGTGCCTCTCCATTCTTCCTCCATGCTCTGGGACCTTGGTTTCCAAATGAGATGCAAAAGTTGCTCTCATCAGAAAAGAGGACTTTGGACCACTGAGCAACAGACCAGGTCTGTTTTTCTTTAGCTCAGGTAAGACGATTCTGATGTTGTTTGTTGTTCAGAAGCGGCCTGACAAGAGGAATACGCCATTTGAAGCCCATGCCCAGGATCAGTCTGTGTGTGGTGGCTCTTGATGCACTGACTCTAGCCTCAGTCCACTCCTTGTGAAAGTCCCCAACCCTTTTGAATGGCCTTTTCCTGACAATCCTCTCCAGGCTGCGGTCATCCCTGCTGCTTGTGCACCTTTTTTTCTTCCACACTTTTCCCTTCCACATAACTTTCTATGAATGTGCTTTGATACAGCACTTTGGGAACATGCAACTTCTTTTGCAATTACCTTTTGAGGCTTTCCCTCCTTATGGAGGGGGTCAATGATGGTTTTCTGCACAACTGTCAGGTCAGCAGTCTTTCCCATGATTGTGATTCCTACTGAACCAGACTGAGAGACCATTTAAAGGCTCAGGCAACCCTTTGCAGATGTTAAGGCTTAGTTAGCTGATTAGAGTGGGACACTTTGAGCCGAGAATATTGCACCTTTTCACAATATTCTAATTTTCTGAGATTGTGGGTTTGGGGTTTTCATGATCTGTAAGCCATAATCATCACAATTATGACAAATCACGGCTTGAACTATCTTGCTTTGCATGTAATGAGTCTATCTCATATATTAGTTTCACCTTTTAAGTTGCATTACTGAACTAAATTAACTTTTGCACGATAGTCTAATTTTTTGAGTTTCACCTGTATGTGGTTTTTGTTCAGTAAAGTCCATTCATTCAAAAATCAAATGCTAAAAGCAAATAATCTTTTGAACAACATTCAGAAGTTCTGATCATTTTTTGTCAGACTTTTCATTTGAAATTCTATCCATCTATGGTCAGTGAGCTGACCAAAAAAAATACCCCTTGATTCCTCCATCCACACAACCTGAAGTGGTTGGAGGGAATTCATTCCCCACCCCCACCTGGGCATGATACTGACTCAGAGCTGTCACAATACACTGATCAATGGCTGCAGCAACTGATCAACATGCTTTCCAATTTGTTTATTTTTAAGGATTTTTTGGGGGGGGGAAATAACATTTTTACAGGAAAAGGTGCATTTATTTTTTCCCTAAGGAGCCTGGAAAGCATTGCATTTGTGATCAGTTGATCAGGGGTACAATGTTGAACTCCTGCAGATGAGCCCTGCAGCCTTCAGCCCGTACCTCTGATACGTGCTGTTTACAAGCTACAGGGCCTGTGAATGAATTAAGAGGCTGTTCATCAGCAACCCCACAGTCCATTCAGAACTACAGCTGCATTTGCTGATAGTAGTTGTAGTTCATGCATTCACAGGGAGCTGAGTGAATGAAGTGACCCTGTGGGCAGAGCCCCACATGGCTGTGCTACTTTTGAATTGACCTTTGGTGCAGGGAGAAGATCTTTTGACAGGGTGATCGAGGGGTCTGGCTGCTAGAGCTGGAATATGTTGCATGTTACAAAAGGTGAAGTTACCCTTTTAACAGTCAACTTCTGTCGAAAAGGGATGGCAATTGAGTGATCAAAGTTTGTATACTACCTGTTGAACCAGCTGAATTTCAATCCATCTATTTACTCCTGCTAATATGGCAGATTGACTCTTCTAATCAACAGA